TTTCTGGGTTGACCTTCAGGTGCGCTTCTGCTTAGTCAATGCGCAGCCCTGTGTGGCCTTGAGAGCCCACGTTGCTGTCCAGGAAAGTGAGGCTGAGAGCATGAATGCGGCCTGCCCAGGTCTCTCAGGAACCTGGGCTTTGGGTCCCCAGGAAGCTCCCGCCCAACCTCAGGCTGTCCGCTGCCACGGCTGAGAGTCCTGATGTTGAATATCCTGTTTATCCCTGGGCGCTGCTGTTTGAGTTGGTTGTTACCACCTGGTGTTGCAACACCCAAAGCTGGCCCAGGAGTCACTGTTGTCACCTGGCGTGCGATGGGGCCCTGCAGACAGCACAGGGCACCTGGGTCTGTCTCTCTCTCCCACCTGAGCTCGGCAGGGTCCTCAGCCAGGGGGACTTGTCTTCTTTCACAGTGTCCCTCCCTCAAAGACCAGTGCAGCAGCAGGGGCCTGATGCGTTGCTGGTGGAGGTGTCTGGGGGTGCCTGGCTGGGTGACCTTGAAGTGTCACCACACAGCTTCCAAGACACATGGGTAATATGGTCCCTGCTCCTCAGCTGTGGGGTGCAGAGCTGAGGGCCCTGTGCAATCTGCTAAGGACAGTTTTCCCACCCCAGGGCACAACCCGGGACCAAGTGTGTGAAGTGTTGACCTCATCCCTGGCACTCCCCGGGCCTGCAGGGGAGCTGCCTTGTCTAACAAGTGGGGAAAGGCACGGGCCTGGGTCCCACTGGCCTAGGAATTTTGGCGCCTGGGTCAGGGGCTGCTGGGTCAGCCTGGCTCTGGGTTTCCCGGCCAGGGTCTAAGTCCTCTCCCTGCCCGGGGCTGCTGTGCGACATAGACAATGGGCTTCACCTCAGGCCCCGTGGGGACCACACTGGCCTTGCCTCCGTTACCGTGGGGTGAGGTGCTGATGTGAGTGAGGGCTGCGCCCCCTGCACACGGTGGCAACCAGAAGGTGGTGGTGCCCCTGGCATGGTGCCAGCATGGTTACTTCACTCCTGCCCACCGCAGTTTCCGCCTGCCTATAGGCCTGCCTCAGGCATATGGGAAGTTGGCAGGTAGCAGGAGATGACTCAGCTCGGCCTCGCCAGCCACTGGGCCACAGTGCCAGCTGCCCCTACACAACTGAACCAACCACAGGAGAGCTGGTCAGGGTCTGCCAGGCCCCCGTAAGGCTCAGGGCCCTTGAGCTGACAGGCTCTAGCGGCTGCCTTCTGTGGTAAGGAGGCCTTGGGTGAAACGGCAGCTCCGCAGTCTCAGATTGGCCACCAGGGAACTGCCCCTGACCCCTCACACAAATTTCCAGAAGACAGGATGGCTGCTCAGTGGACAAAGCCTCCATATATATTGGGGCAAGGAAGTCGGCTTCTGAGACTGAGAGGCGCCTGCGGGCTCTGAGGCAGCTGTTGTGTGTGTGGCTCAGCACCTCGCAGAGGCCACACAGGGGCAAGAAAACAGGGAAACTGAAGATGCACAGGGGAGGAAGAAGGGCTTCAGCACTCTCCCCTGTCAGGGAGGGCCTGTCAAGCCCAAGAAGCCACTGAATCTCGAATTCTTTTGTGTACTCAAAGGCCACAGGTGCATGTTTTTACGATGTTATCCTCAGGTTTTCTATCCACCTGAGCCCACTTGCTCAGGGGAGATGGTCCCCTCAGGTTTCCTGTCTCGCTCCATCTCTCTCCTCCCCTCTTTCCAGGCCCTTCTACGCCAGCTCTGGCCTCCGGAAGCACAGAGGGGCCCGGCAGGACGCACACCCAGGACAGAGCCGGCATCTCCGCTGGCATGGCCACATCTCACAGCCGAGCAAGGGGTGATGTGAGCTGGAAGCTCCAGTCTCTATGGGTGGGCCTGAGGCTGTCCCGAGGCAGGGAAGGGAGTCAAACACACACACACACAGACACAAGGCAGCATGAGCCAGACTTGCTAATAAAACAGCATTTCCCTTCCTACAGGGACAAGAATCTCTCACACTGTCTGAGCCCCACTGCCAAATATGAGTGACATGACCTACAGCGGCCCAGGAACTGCCCCTGACCCCACACACAAATTTCCAGAAGACAGGATGGCTGCTCGGTAAGTGGAGAAAGGCTCCATATGTATTGGGGCAGGGAAGTCGGCTTCTGAGACTGAGAGGCGCATGCGGGCTCTGAGGCAGCTGTTGTGTGTGTGGCTCAGAACCTCGCAGAGGCCACACAGGGGCAAGAAAACAAGGAAACAGAAGACGCACAGGGGAGGGAAAAGGGCTTCAGCACTCTCCCCTGCCCGGAAGGGCCGTCAGCCCCTAGAGGCCACTGAAGCCCCTGGGAGCTGATCACTGCCTCCCGGAGCCAGGGACCCATGGCTGTGGGCTCTCTCTGGGGCCTGCCACTACGTCACGGTGGGACCTCAGGGGCCCATGCCCTCTTAAGCCTTCGGTTCCTCATCATCAGTAGGGAGTGTGGGCATCCTCTGAAGTATGGGTGTGATGTTCCCACGCTGGAGCCAGGGGTCAGCATCAGGGGTCACTGTATCATCTGGATGATGCAGCAGTCAAAGCTCAGCGTATGCTCAAAATCTGGGCTTCGTCTGGGGTCAGAGTCAGACCCGTCGGGTGTGGTTCATGTTTAGCACCTCCATGGATGGGCTGTTAGCTGGGACATGCAACGCTGTGTCAGTCTCAGTGGGGCCGAGTCGGCAGTTCAGAGCTCTGGGCGCTGTCAGAGGGGCTTGTGGTGGGGGGAGGAGCTGGTCTGAGGGCACCAGAGCACCCCTGGGTCCTTGAATGCACCAGACTGGTCCTGCAGGTGGGTGTACAAACTATTGGAACTGGTGTGGAGGATGGCTGAGGCCTGGCACTGAGACCATGAGAGTTGTCGTAGCTGCTTGAGAAACCCCCCTCAGTGCACCCCAAGTCCTTTGGAGGATGGAGGCCAGGCTGGTGTGTGGTCACAGTTGATCTAGTCAGACCAGTTACCCCTTGCAAGCGGATCTCTGGGAGAAGAGAAGCCTGCAGAAGCAGCTCCTGATTCAAAGTGCTTTTCCCAGGGTCAGGGCTCAGTAAGCCCCCCCCTGTTCCCACTGCCCCCCTGGCCCAGGGTCATGGTTCACTAAGCCCCCCTGAAATGTGAATGGAGGCGGTGCCTGCCACACCTGGTGTGAGACGCTGGTCTGTTGCCTACCGTGTCTGGAACTCAGTGTCCCCATTAGGAGAACTCTGGCTGACACCCTCAGATCTCCCCTCCACTCCAGACCCTCCTCTCTGCCTCCCACTTGCCCCACCCGAGACCCAGAGGAAGGAAACAAGTTGCCACAGGAGTGCTGAATGGCTCTTTATTGCTGAGGGCACAGGGGAATGAGCACCAGGCCACTCTGCTGGTCCAGTGTCCTCCTGGCTGGGCTTGGGCTTTCCTTCCTGTCGGGTGTGGCAGCATCTTCTGAGAGGGCGACGCTCCATGAGGCTCTGCCAGGACCCTGGGGAGCAGTCTGCAATGAGAGCACAGGGATGGTTGGGCACTCCTAAGGGGCCTCTGAGTGCCTGGGACTCACCAGGCGCTGTAGCCCAAGCCCTTCCCACAGCCTCCTGCAGGCCAGTGGCCTTGGAGAGGGATGAACAGCTATGCCTTGGGGTCTTTCTGTGGTGCCTGATTGATCATCCTCATGCCCTCTCCTCCCCTCAGATGAGCAACAGGGGCAGGAGATCAGAGGTAAGGTGGGAGTCAGGGTCAGGGTCAGGGTCAGGGTCGGGGTCAGAGTCAGGACATGATCTGGACAATGGATGAGTCTCGCCCAGTGTATGAGCATCCTGGGACGGTCTGGGCAGTGTCGGAGCTCAGTGGGTGTGTGGCTGAGGGTCAGTGTTGGAATGTGACTGGCATCAGGTTCAGCACTAGCTGGGTCAGCTCAGGCGGGACCAACATCAGGGCTCAGTCACCACCGCAGAACAAAGAGGCCCAGCTGCTCTGGCCTCACAGGCCTCCTGCAGGAGCCCCACGCTCCGGGTCGCCCAGGGAGAGGCCTCACCAGCAGGCGGTCCTCTTGGTCTGTCCTCTTCAAGGCAGGAGATGTTCAGGCAGCTGGATTCCATGCAGAACCTCATCTGAGGGAACAAACAAGAGTGGGTCTCAATTACCAACAATAGGAGCCATTGTCAGGGCGGCCACTCCCCAGCGAGCCCACTGAGAGCCCAGGACTCAGCCCCTGCTCTGCCCTCCACTCCCCTCTACTCGCCTGAGAGGACACATGAGGCCGCATCCTGCAGGGCTCGGTCAGGGCGCAGTGACACGGCGCAGAGGCTGCGGGGACGCGGCTGTGGCTCATGCACAGAAGGGACACGTGTAGGCCCAGCACCTCAGGACCCCACAGCTGTGGCCCCAGCACCTCAGGAACCCACATCTGTGGCCCAGCACCCCCGGCAACTCATCCTTTGGACAGCAGCGGCCTCAGGACCCCGGGGGCAGAGGAGCAGCCACAGCTCCTCCCAGGCAGAGGGAGGCAGAGTGGGTGAGCCGGGCCTGCGGGGCAGCTGCTCTCTGCCAGCTGCTTTACCCTGCTGAAGCCAACGGTGTCAGTCTCCTTGCCTTGGAGCTCCCAGGCTCAGGGAGAGAAACGCGGGACCAGGGCCCCAGCTGGTGAGCAGCAGAGGGAGGCTCTGAGCCCAGACGGGCCCATCTCTCTGCATGGCTTTGCCTGGAGGATGCTGTAGCTTATCAGGGCTGATGGAGGCTTGAGACCCCGGGGCCAGTCCCGTAGTGCCCTTAGGCCCCACTCTCTCACCAGGTCAGGATGGCCCAGGATGGCCCCTCCTGCTCTGAATTCCCTGAGCTGACCTGCCTGTAGGTGGGCCAGAGCGCAGGTCTCCCTGGGAGCATGGGTGGGAGTGCCCCCTCCCCCAGCTGGGACTCACCAATGATCTTTCCTATGATCTCACTTTGGCTATAGAGACACAGGTTCAACAGTTGGCACACCTGAGGGGAACAGAAAGTGGGTACCAAAGAAGGGTGAGTTGGGGGTGCAGTGAGGTGAGGAAATACCGGAAGAGGAAAAGAACAAATCATTTTCCAGAACAGAGGCTGGACACCTCAGAGATGCTCCTTGTGTGGAGCTTAGAACCCTCAACCCGGAGCCTCTACAACAATGAAGACCTAGAGGTGCAACTCTGAGAACCACATCTAACTCCTCAGCACGGTAGAATCAGACGACAGAATCCAGAGCACTGACGCTCCAGAGCCCTGACGCAGACGTCGGGAAATGGAACCTGGGAGTTTTCAGGTGTCGCCAGGCCCTGGCCCCAGCAGTGTGTCCCATGATGAGGGTGCAGTCCTGGGCCTCCTTACAATGCCCCTGTGATCAGCAGGGTGGGGCGGGACATGGGGGGCAGTCAGCAGGCTGCATCTCCACAAGCTCCAGTGAGCCCAGTGCTGTGCAGACCCGCCCCAGTAGCCAAGGCCCAATCAGGGAGGCCACAGGCCCCGGAAGGTCTCTCTGTCACACACCCAGTTTCCATCCCCTTCCAGACTAATTAAGAAACTGGGGCTTAGATTTTGGGTGATTTTCAGATGAAAATCCTTACTCTAATTATCGCTATTTATTTGCAATTAATTGCATGGTAAGTGATATTAGAATCTATTTATGGGCAAGATAAAATGTTTCCTCACACAAAATATGTGTTTTTATATGGAAGTAAATGAGATTAGTACATATTTAGGAGAGAGACACGAGCCTGGGTCTTCAGTGCAGGGACATGACCGTGGTTGACCAGGACCTGGATACTTCAGCCAAGGGTGGCGCCTGCTCCCCATTTTCCCACTCTCGATCCCCCAGGTACAATGGGGGCAGTTTGATAGTCCCATGGGGAGTTTGAGCCTCAGAGAAATGTGTCCTGAGAGTTAAGCTGTGCCTGCCCCCTACGGGCCAGACCCGGGCCCCAGGGATGCCGGACTCACGGTACTTGCTGCCACGCTGGACAGAGCCCTTTTCACCAACCCGGGTCCACGGTCCACAAATGTGCTGGTCAAACTGCTTGTCCTGGAGGAAGGGGACACTGCTGAAGGCTGGTCACGTGGAAAGTACATCAGGAAGTCTGGGTGCAGAGTTGGGGTGCAGCACCCCCAGAGACACAGAGCTACTTTGCAAACCACAGGAGACCATCACTTAGAACCTCACATCTACCATGCCTGGGAGTCTGATACTCACTCATCAACCCATTTTACAGCCCCGATGAGGCCCCAAGTCGGGCTGGAGACTCAGAGACAGCAAAGCACAGCAGCTCCTCACCTGGCACCGCACAGGAGACTGGTCTTGCTGGGCTGCCCCCTCCGCCTCAGCCTCTCAGCTACTGGCCCTCTCTGGAGGGCGCTAGGCCCTGCTACACAGGTCGGTGTCATGCTCAAAACCACTGCCGTCGTCAGGGTCCTTTATTGGTGGACGGACGTACCTCGGCCTCCCTTAAGGGGAAAGCCACACCCAAGCAAGGTCCTTCCAGAGGCCACCACTACATCCCCAGAGCTCAGGACATGGCAGAGACATGGCACATTTCTGGCTGAAAGAATGAGTGAAGTAGAAAGATGGCTTAGGAAACGGTGACAACTGTGAGGAGCAAGACACTTAGGAGAGGGAGCAGGGAGGCTGGGCTGAGGCCTGAGGGCTGAGGGCTGCGCTGAGGTGCCTGGGAGGTGTTCCTGGCCCAGGACAGTCCCTGCTGTGTGCGGAGGGGGTGAGCTTGTGAGCAGCTCAGAAGAAAGGCCGGAGTGTGTGGAGCGGGGACCAGTGGGTCAGAGTAAGAGGAACCCCGATGACCACAGGAAGGTTCCATCCAAACAGGAAGCCCAGGTCAGGGAGGGTGTGTGGCAGGGAGGAATGCCTCTCTCAGGTGTACCCCGAGACCCAGGTGGCAGGATGAATCCCCAGGACTGCGAGGCAGCCAGCAGCACTCAATCTCCCAAGCTGCCCCTGTGGCTCCATTTACCATGTGATTGGTGTTTTCTTCAATTCTGGGCAGCTGTAGGTGGGCTTGGCCCTAAGGTCCAGACCCCAGCCCTTTCCTTGAGGTGCAGTCACTCTCTTTCCAAATCTGCTGCTCTGTGCTGCATGGGCCTTACCTGCTCAGTAGTTTCAGCTGGACACTGTCTGGGTCGACGGTGCATTGTTCCATGACCACCGAGTTTTGGTAAGGCTCATCATCCTCTATAATTCTCACACTGCTCAGGATGTCTAATGAAGACGTCAGGTTGACCAACTGGCCAATGACAGGCCTGTAGGGGGTCAGGATCAGAGTGAGTCCAGTTCTACAAACACCTGCTGTGCCCACTCATCCCTCACCTATGTGAGCCTCATCCATCATCGGATGTGCCGACACCGTCCCCCTCCACATGGGCCTCACACATGACAAGGGATCGCCTCTCAGGCCTCGTGGGTTTAGTTCACATGAAATTTTTATGTAATATCACATTAATACCTAAAATAATTAAATTGGAGTAGCAATGAAATTGTCAATTGTTTTGGGTAGGATGACCATTTTGATCCTGCTAATCCTTCCTCTCCATGAATAGGGAATATCTTTCTATTCTTTGTGTGTTCTTATATCTGTTTTAGCAAAGTTTTATAATTTTCATTGTAGAGGTCTCTCACCTCTTTTGTTGGATTTATTCCCAAATATCTGAATGTTTTTGTTTCAATTCTGAAAGGGATAGTTTTCTTCTTCGGATTGTTTGTGTGCATAGAGGAATGCCACTGATTTTTGTGTGTCGATTTTGCATCTTGCTAATTATTAAATTCATTGATATTTTGATCAGTTTTTCTGTCAAAGATCTACAGAGAGCTAACCAGGCCCAATTAAGACAAAGTCAACAGCCCAGTAAAAATATGGGCAGAAGAGTTAAAAAGACACTTCTCTGAAAAAGCATGCAAATGGCCAACAGGCATGTGAAAAAATGTTCACCATCACTTGTATTCAGGGAAATGCAAATCAAAACCACAAAGAGATACCACCTAACATCAGTGAGAATGCCACATATTAAAACACAGGAAACAAACGTTAGGAGGATGTGGCAAATAAATTAGCTCTCCTACACTGCTGGTGGGAATGCAAACTGCTCCAAACACTGTGGAAAGCTGTGTGGAGGGTCCTCAGACTACTAAGAATGGAGCTTCATATGACCCAGCAATTCCACTCCTAGGCATCTATCCAACGGACGCAGAAACATTGATTCAAAAGAATACCTGCACCCCCATATTTACTGTAGCCCTATTTACAATGGGAAGATGTGGCAGCAACCCAAATGCCCAAAAATAGATAACGGCATCAAGGCGATGTGGTATATTTACACAGTGGAATGTATTCAGCTATCAAAAAGGATAAACTCAAGCCCTTCACAGCAACATGGATGGAGCTGGACGGGATTATGTTCATTGAAATATGCCAGAAAGGAAAAGAAAAATAGTTAATGGTCTCATTTAGAGGAGCAATGTAGAGGAGTGAAATAAGGAATCTGGCAAAAAAAAAAAAGTGATACAATAAAGTAAATATGAAGCCATCAGGCAGCTCTACATCGACATTGTGTAGGGGAGCAGGAGGGAGAAATCTGGGACCCGAGTGGGGAGGCACAAGGGTCTATGGGCAGTGCGGTGTGGACATGACTCCAGCAGGAGGGCGCTGGCCATGCTGACGGCCTCTCCACAGGCCTCAGATTATAACCGTACTTACACTTTCAGGCTGAAATTGGCATTTATGGGGAACCTCAGTTTCAAGCCTTGTCTCTCAGGAGACATTTCGATTTTGACATCCAGGATTTTGAATTCGCTGACTACCAATCTGGACAAAAAACACAACTCTCCTTGTCAGGTTCATTAGGTCATTGATGTCACCATCACATGGAGCACCCCGCCTCACCTTCTGTGCCACCTTGCTCTTCACCATCACCTTTGACCCCTCCACGGTACAGCAGGCTCAGCCTGATGTGCCTCCCTCCGCCCTCCCTCCCCTCTCTCCCTCTATCTTTCCCTCCCTCCCTCCCTCCTTCCCTAGATAACAAGGAGGAGGATGTGCCGCAGCCACAGCTTGGACACCTACTCTGGACCCCTAAACTCCATATGTGGAAATCACTTGTGCGGTAAAGTCCAGGAAACTTCTCTTGGGAGGCAGAGTTTCAGCAAATAGAGGGGTGTGAGTGCTCAGATATTTATCTTCAGCTATATGTAAAAAATAAAAGCTTATTCCTTGGGTAGGACAGTCAGACACCAGCAGTCACAGAGGAGTAGAGACGAACTTTCCTCTGCTTCTGAACATGGAGTCCCCAACCCAAGAGATGCCCAGTGGGGGCAGCCCTGCCTCTATTTACTGATGCTCTGGAGCACCTGGCCCCAAGCTGCCACGGCTGTGCGGGGAGGCACCAGGTTACCCAGCTTCCTGTCTTTGATCTTCAATTTGCTTCCACAAAATATAGATTCCCTTTCTTTGGAGCAGTTATCTACCAAGAAATACCAACTTACCCCAAAGTTAGGACTTCAGGTGAAAGTAAATGTAAATCCACATTCTCCAAGTTCTTAATTTGCAGAACCCTCTGCTTGACCTTCTGTAAAATGCTGGCATCCTGGCTGGCCTTCAGGTCAGGCTCCAGATTCTCTTGGTCAGCTGCAAAGCAAAGGGCATTCAAGGCTCCAGCCCACCGTGGAGCAGCTACATGCATCTCACACTACATATGACTATTTCTTGATATCATTTCATGTGTGTCTCACTACTCAGTGATATCACATTGTTAGTATAGAATTTTCAGATGGGGACATGAAGGATGAAAGAGTTAAGAAATGTGCCTAACGTTACATAGCTCTGAAACCTTGCTGTTCCATGCTCTCTTCATGCCCAAAGTAATCAATCAGCTGATCAGGCAAATGCTACTGATTGAACACCAGATTCTAGTAGTGATATAACAGGCTATTGTTCTAAAGACAATGTTCATATTTTTAAAAACTAGGTCAAATCAAGTGAGAGATTGACCTAAGAAATGGAAAACTCTAGGGTGATACAAATATATGGATCCAACTTAAGAAAGTGACAACTTTGCTCCAGGCTCTAAGGCAATCGCTCACTTATTGGTACAGGGTCCTATGGGAGTTTTCCAAGAAAAGAGGAATTTGAGGAAAGTACTCAGCAGATAAGTAAGAGACATGTGAAAGAATTAAGGCTCTACATATACAAAGTAATGCAAGTGAGAAACAATAAAGCAATTGCTAACTCAAGCAAAAACAAAACAGTACAGGAAAAGCTACGTAATCTTAGGACTACAACTTGGCTATGCAAAGGACAGTATCTATCTAGTTATAATGATTCAAATAGAGAACTGCAAATTAAACCGAAGACTATACCTCATCTTAGGTGACTTTGAAACTAATACTTCTGTTTCTGAGCTCAGAGTTCACAGCAGTGATATTAAAAAGCAGATGCCTCCTGTATCTTTGAAGATTGCCTAAATCCTAACAGGTGTTTGGAAAGCAGACATTTACTGATGATATTTGTTTCTAAAGAATATTTGTTACTGTGCTTTTAATGTTTCCAAAAATGAGGAGAAAAGTAGATCTTTTAAGAAGTCAGAATAAAAATGAGATGTGATTAAGTGCCACAGAACAGAGGTGAATTCTCAGCTTTGAAGGAGGACGTGGAGTCTAAGGGAGTTTGCTGCAGAGGAGATGCAGTCGAGTGCAGCTCTACCTTTCACTCTTTGCCCAAGTTTTAATGTGAGACAGGAGCAAAGGAAGAAGAGAATAGGAAGCAACTGTGCTTGTGATTGTCCAAATTATTAAGTTGCTACTGGAACAAGATTTTCTAGTTACTAGGAGACATGCAAACACGGTAGTAGGTTATCAGCGACAGGAGTCCATGCTGGTGGGAAGGGTTGTTTGCAGACTTCTACCATCCTGAGGCTCTGTATGCACAGGGGACGGGGACTCTGAGAGAACCCCAGCTGCCTGTAGGCACCAGGCTGCCTGCCATTAAGCTCAAAGTTAGGCGGCTTCAAGGCAAGGTAGACTGAATTTCCCTAATTTTCAATGAGCAAATAATTGTCAATAAGAAAATTGTTGAAAGCAACAGAAGAATATGACAAACTATTTCTGTTAAGATATGTCTATGGCTATTAAAATATGAAAAAGTGAGTGAATTTTGTTATAATCAGGTCAATATAAGATTAAATAACACACAAACATTCATCCATTCCATGGGCAGAACATTGAGTGGCCCAAGACAACACTGTCAAAAAGGCACTGGCAGAGTACTGCAGGAGTGTTAGCGCTGGAGATATTTGGTCTAAAGCAAAAATGTGCATGCTTTAGACATCTCACTGTTAGTCATGTATCCTATTCCTATTGGGAAGTGTTTACTATAATAAATCTGTTATAAGGTATTACTGATTTATTTCTCATATGTAGAAAATTCACAAGCCTGTGACACAGGAATGCAAAGTCCCCTCACTGCCCAGAGAGTAGGCCCGTGGGAGTCAGGGTCAGGGTCAGGGGTGACACAGGAATGCAAAGTCCC